ATTTTTCTTTCGATTCGATTACAAAAGTAAATGATGTAAAAAGATGAAATTTGTGCATCCTGAATCCTTCATACATATTTTTTTCAATGTGAATTCTAATTTTTGTAAAATCATCATGAAGCACTAGGGATTTCAACTGGAAAACCATCTAATCTTAGTTGAATAAAGGGTATAAGCAAGCGTAAATAAACATATATTACAACAACAACAACAAAAAAAAAAAAAAGGAAAATAATGCAAAGAAGAAAACAAGCATCCAATTATTTGATTATTACAAACTCCATTCCAAACAATAGCAAAGCACATCGCACAAAAGAAAAGAAACTAAATTACACAGAGAGAAGGAAAATTCCCCTCACTATATGGAATTTAAGAAACAAGTAGCCAAACCTTTGCCATGCTGAATTATAAATCTGAGAGCTTCATCTCTTGAATACCCCAATCAATTCTTCAAGGTTACTTCCTGCTTTTTTTTTTTATGGCTAATTCCTGCTTCTTAATTCAAGATATAGACAAAACAAGTGGAAAGCGAACTTACAATATGATTCTGAACATTTGACGAACACATTTTTACAACGCACGCCACAGTAGTTGCATTCAAAGTAGTCAAAATCTTCCTTCACAAAGGTGAGAGGGTGTGGATGAAAATCATATGTGGAAGTCAACCCAAGCTTCACATATGGGGATCTCCCCAGAACACAAGAGGGATGCACAGAATAGTCGCAAATATCACAGTGATAAAACCAATGATTTGCGTCTCTTGGTTCCTCACATATCTCACAAAAACATTGATCCACAACAAGATCATCATGATAAGTGAGTGCAAGAGGATGTTTATCATACTTGTACCAGGTTATATGCGGGAACACAACACATGAATAGCACAAGGAAAAATCACCATCCTTGCATCTAAAACAACCATTTCCAGTTCCACAGCTACTGCATTCCCTTTCATGCTTGTAGTCAAAGAAAAGATGATGCTGGTGTCCTTGATTGGTGAAGTTGTCAGGAACTTCAAAGCATCTGATGCACATCGTGATTTGATGACCTATGGTGTAGCCAAACCCACTGCAGAAAAAGTAACACCAGTCACAGAGAAAATGGTGGTTATAATGGAGAGTTAGTGTGGTTTTCAAACTCCATTGTCTTGTCTTTCTTGGTAACTCAGCACAGTGCTTGTGGAGGGAATAATCACATTCAGCACAATAGTAAAATTCAGTTGAGATAGGTCGTATACAACCATCACAACATATATCATCCTTAATCTCATCACTAAGTATTAAGTTGTGCTGATGGCTAAAGTGTTTAATCTCAGTGGCAATTA